CTCCTAGGAAAATGAAGTATTTTAGGAAATATTAAAACAGCAGAATATTTTCCCTAAAAGGAAGACAGAAACTCAGCCTTCCCACCTTTGTTAATGGCCCATTAAGGCCTGGACCAGTCTATTCTACATAACAAAGATCTACCTCCTTCAGGCAGAGCCATTTAATTGCCTTTCATTGCATCACCCATACATATTATAATGATCAACCTCATCTTCATCATGTTGCAAGGGATTTAGCATCCATATCCCATGACATTTTTAAAATTTATTACAGTATGTATCATTTACCTTAGTCTCAATTTTTGGTGACCTGGAACAAAATCACGAAGAATGCAAGAGGCTGCCCAGTTGCCTTTCCCACAGAGATGCATTGGAGGAGGGGGATCATTTTCCTTCAGAATTCCCAATCTGAGTTGCCCCATTTTCAAACTTGTTCCTTTGTTGGCTTCTGTAACCTCAACAAATTTGACCCTCTTCTGTTTTGGACAGCTATTCTGCTGGCAGACGGACAGATGGACAGAATCCTGAGATCCTTTATATAATTTCTTTCCAAATTATAATTGTGTTGGAATAATTGTGTGACTGAAAACCTGAGTATAGTAGTGCGAAGGGAACTACAAAATGAGTGTTGCTCAGCTTTTCATTAACTTTTAATTTGGTTTGAAATTCATAACTTCTCCTTAGTGTGATACCTGAAACTACCCAAAAGTAGTTTTCCCCCCCCAATAAACCATTATTATTAAGAATCCCTGGCCTAACATACCATGTGAATGAGGTCATTGCGCCCTTAATTATTAGATGCAGAATTATACTAACTCTTATGGTGCTGTACATGTTTTTAGCCCAAAGGATTCCAGGTGGACTGGCTAAATGATTTCAAATACTAAAGCCAGAAAAGATTCAACTGAAGACAAGTAGCAGTAATTCAGTGATTCAGTTCAGGATTTAGTTTACATATCAAACACCAACAAAGTTAAATGAATGTCTTAAGAACCCTGGATATTACAGGTTAGGGAACAGCGTTTAAAACTAGAAGTTATTAAGCAAATTGTGTGTGTTTGCTTTTAGTGCAAAGCACTAGACAGTGGTGTTGAGCACAATAATTGCATATAACAGGAGAACATACAATTTCCCCTGGTAAATGTAGAGCTTCCATAATGAGGGAGTACCTCCTAGCCTGTTTATGTAAGGTAACAGAGATTTTAATTTTATAGATATCCCATTTTCTTGTCTGGACCTTTGGATATGACTGATTTCATGAAGAACAAAGTAATGTATTTAATATAAGATATATGATGGCTTATTTGGAACTTCCCTGTACAACTTAATAGAATTCTTTATTGGCCAAATGTGATTGGACACACAAGGAATTTGTCTTGGTGCAAATGCCGTCAGTATACATAAAAGTTACATTCATCAAGAGACAAGAATCATAAGGCACAACACTTAATGATAGTCATAGGGTACAATAAGCAATCAAATCATACTAGGGTATACTATTTAATATAAATCATTTATTAAAATTGGGTCTTATAAGCACCATTATTCTCAATATCATATAATGACAAGATGAAATGACACTAAAGCATCAGCAACTCAGCAAAACAGGTATTGTGAATAAAGCCATTAGTAAAGGTTGCATATTTTGATTGGTGCTAACATAATGGTTTGCTATATAGTATTGGATTAATCCAGGAAAACTCTTATACTTATTTTGAACTACAGTATGGATCTCATTAGTGAAACTGCTCCCCAATATTATTACATTGATGGCTGAGGTTTGCTAAGAGCTCTTTCACATGGGAAGCCCCTTACTCTTGTCCAGACAATTTTTTTTAATACTTCTGGGAATCAGGTAGGTTATAAATCAAATGAATGAAATCACATTCATTGCCAGCTCCCCAATTTAAAACCACACATCTGTGTCAGGAGAATACTTTTATTTTCATAAATTGTTTACAGCTTCGGGTTCTTGCTTCAGAAGAAGCCAATCAAGCAGCCACGAAACAGCTCTAAACCATCTATTTCTGAGTCCTGAAGAAGCCAGGGCAGGTATCTGCCTGCCTTAAAACAGCCCCAAGCTGCTGCTTTATCTCTCTTCCAGGAACAACTGTCTGCCTGGGTGCACAGCAAGGCAGGGAGTAAGTGCACCAAAACAAAAGTAAAGAAGGTCTGAAAAGGATTAATCAGGATTTAAATGAACTGTGCCCCTAGGGTTATGGGTCATGAGCCTCCTGAGGGACCTTATGGCCAGAACAAGAGCTGCATAAAGACATGCTGTTAACATAATCAATTTCAGCCAACAGAAAGCAATGTAATGAAACATAATAAAAGCAGACTGCAAAGGGAAGAATCCTCAATACACAAATATATTTTCTCTTAATGAAAAATGCCATTATCCTAGTTATTGCTGAGAGGGAGAAAAGTCAAGTCGACCAGAATCCAGTGCAGAAATCTCGGCATTGTCTACTGGGAACTTCCAAAATAGGTCCTCCAAAAGGAGAGGGGGGGGAAAAAGAGATTTAATAGAAGAGAGCACTCCTCCAGGAGCATTTAATTACTGCTCTCATCTCACCTTAGAATACAATTATCCCATGGAGAAAGAAAAATTAATCTGGTCTTGCTATTATTGAGAATATTGGCTGGGGATGATGTCCCTTGAAAGATTTGCAAAAGCCTCTAAAATCTGTGGACCACAAAGTAGAAGATTGGAAGTTGACTTTTGCTATAGAATCTGGATGATTTTATTAGCTGCTGTGACTATTTTACCCAGAGGGTTAAAATGTCCTCAATTAAAATAATTGCTAAAAGACCAGAAGCTGGAAAGTACTAATCAGTACATAAAAACTTCTCAGCCTTTGGAGTTGAAATGATATTCCTGATTTTGTCAATTTCAATTATTTATGAGTAGCAGGATTTCAGGGGCTTTGAGGATTACCTTATAAGCAGACAAAGAGAAGCTAAACAAAAATGTGTTTTCAGTTTGTTCCAGGTTCCACTGTATTTTAAGTAAAATATCCTTCTTGTGGAATCTGAATCCTGATGATTTCGTGGCCTATTTATGTGCTTTCCTTGGAAAGAACATGGAGTTGATTTGCTTTTTCAGAGGATGTTTTTTAACTTTTAAATCTAGCCCACAACTTTGGTGTCTTCTGGAATTTTCCACCATCGCTCATATATCAGGTATAACAATTATTTTTTAAAATACTAATGTACTTCTGCTAATGAAAATACTAAGAAATAATTAAGCCAAAGGAATGTTTAAGAGACTGAACATGCAACAGCTATATTTGCATGCCCAAGAGTCCCAAAATCAGTTTATTAATAAGGACCCTTTCTGCCTAATCAATTTTATAAAAGGCACAAGATTTCATGAATTGCTATTCATTTCACCAAATATCTAGTGGATAAACTGCTATGTGTTTGATGAAGTAAGGTACAATTTCTAGTATGTTAGTTTAATGCCAGGTTTTCTTTTCTGAGCTTTTCTTTATGCAGTTTACAAAATAAATTGAGGTGGTGTTTTTTTTTTTTTTTGCATTTCCACAGGCTCTTTCCCACTTCTCTGGCAATTATTTGTTCCTCAAGCATTTTGTTCTCCTGGCAGTTTGCTTTATGCTGCTACCCTGGCAAAGGACTATTCACTGTACTTTTGCAGTAAGACTGATGAATTCTGTGAACTGACGTATACACATTTGAAAGTTGCTAAGATTGAGAAACACTATTTTAAACTCAGTATCTACATCCTGAACTTTGAATTTAAAGGGGGATACAAGGTGAAGAGTCTTCGTCACCTGCTCTCCTGACACAAATGGTATTGGAAAACCTTTTTGTTAGGTCTGAGATCAGTAGGAATAGTGACCTTGGGAAATGTTTCATAAAGTTGGGATTCCTAAGCAGGGCTGAAAAAAAAACCTTTCTGGCAGTTGAAACATAAATGGCTGTGGAAGCAGACAGCCCCATGGCTGGACCAGAGGGGGTCATCCTGAAGGGGTTGCAGGTCACCCAACTTTCTCTCACTCCTACTTTTTATGACCATGTAGTCCCGTAATTTGGGGTAGAATTGAGGTGACTGTTTACTGGTCAGATGCCCTTCCTGATGCCTATATGTGGAGTTTGCAGCAGATATCTTTTCTTTGCGCCCTACGAGAGAAACATCTGCCTGGGATTGAACTCTCAGGCTCCTCCTACTGATACGCCATAATGTTTGCATAGAAGGGTTTGTTCTCTTATCCCACGGAAGGCACTACTTTTCACTGGATTGGTTTGATCCAGCTTCATGGATCCCATGGCAGAGGTGACACATTTGACCTATTGCATAATAAAGTCTGCCCAAAGCAAGCTTGCCTGTGGAGCATCATAAGATGGTGGGGCAGACACCTAGCATAGCAGCTTGTATATTTTGATATTAACATAAATATATATATATATATATTTGGCAGCATGGATTATTTTTGTTCAGGGTTAGTTTCTATCTAGTTAAATTTCTTCCCATCTGCAGATTTGGGAATTTTCCCAGGAATGTGAACAGATGCTTCTAGTTTCTCAGTAGCTGTTTTGGCTACACAGACACCACAATTCTGTCTTCAATTTGCTAGCAACAGCACAACAGAGGCTATCTCACTTAGAAGTACATTTTGTTTATTAGTAGCAGATCTGCAACTGACTTGCTGATATCCCTACAAAGGTCCGTCCCCCCGCACTTCTGATTGTGTCCACTTGTCCGAGTCTGCTTGAACAAGTTCCTGCAGTTCACTTGGCAAAGTTTTTCAGGAGTGGTTTGCCATTGTCCCCTACTAAGGCTGAGATTGAGTGACTGGCCCAAGGTCACCCTGCTGGCTTTGTGCCTAAAGTGAGACTAGAACTCCCAGTCTCCCAGTTTCTGGCTTGATGCCTTAACCACTATGCCAGACTGCCTCTGAGATGTATTTTATTGGCAGAGAAATGTTCATCTTTTGTTAGTGTCACAGTTTTCATTTATTCAGTCCAACAAGCTTAAAGAGAATTTCAACAACTTGGTTTAATTATACCCAAGAATAGGGAAACAGTAAAATGCCAAACAATTCTCAAATTCAAAGAAAGCTAAAAAATCCAGACAGTTATTAGGACTGTTTTTCAATAAAAGAAATTGAAAGAATAATATAACCAATTATATTAACAACATACAAAAGTAGTAGAGTCTTTGATCCCTCTGTTTAAAAAATGGAAAAGAGTGATGTGATGAGACATGTCTATCATCCAGTTGTCCCTCAAACATTGCCCAAAGAAAAGATTGTTTTCCTGTTACTGAACCAAACTGCAAGATATTTCTCACTAACCTTACAGGTTATTTATTACAGATCAGATGAAACAATAAACCTGAAGCCATTTTAGAAAGTGTTATCTACTTCCTCAAAACCAGAATAAGGACAGCTTTATCAAATATATTTGGATGTTCATTTTTCGCCAGCGTCCTCTTCACTGCAATTTGACTTGTTGCTATAAGGTTGCTATGAAAATTTCATCATGATAACACTTTATCGTTTCTTCTTTGTTTCTTTTTTGAGCTTCTTGTTCACTGAGATAGCAGCAATTTTGGGTTTCTTGACTACTTCAGCAGTTTTCGTTTCAAAGCTTTCAGTATCCTGTTAAGTTCATTAAGGGAAACAGAACATTAATGATTTTGTGGATAGGTCGTAGATCTTTTTTATTATTTGCTGGTACATAAGAATGCTGGAGAAACGTGCTCATGAATCATTTATAAAATCAAATGCACTGTACTTCTAAGTACTGCATGTTTTATATCTTTTACACAGAAAATGTAATTAAAAAGTTTATTCAGGCTGACCCTAGATATTTTTATTTGGAAGAAGCTTTTATGAATGTCATTTTTTAAAAACAACAAAAACTCTACAGTCTTAACATTGGACATCTGTATTTTGAGGTGATGAGTGCCTATCAGCACAGCTTTCTAGCCAAGCTGGGAAAATAATAAGATACATATTACATATAAAATAATAATAGATACATAATAGATACAAACTCAGGGTAAACTGCACCAAACTCGATTGCAGGAAATACGACTTCAGCAACAGAATGGTCGATGCCTGGAATACTCTGACTTTATGGGTTCTTCCCAAAACCCCCAAAACTTTTAACCTTAGACTGTCTATTGTCGACCTCACCCCATTCCTAAGAGGTCTTTAAGGGGCGTGCATAAGCAACATGCCTACTGTCCCTGTCCTAACGCTACTTATATCTGTTATGTAATACATGCTTGATAAATAAAATAAAAAGTAATAATACATAATAACGGAAGAGCAACAGAACAAAGTGAAGGTGGGGAGGATTAATAGGTGATAGCAGTAAATGGCTTTACCCAAACAAGACTGAAAGGCTGTGGGTTCTAAGGCTCCCTAAATCTAGAGACTGTCTATCTTTTTGGATAGGATTAAACTTGCCAGACAAAACTTGTGTGCAATTTGAGAGTCCTCTTGGGTTTTCTATTCCCACTGAAGAGCAGTTCGCACTGGCAGTCATGACCAAGAAAGACCTTTAAACAAATCCACCTTTTGCACCAGTTGCCCCCATTTCTGGATCCGGAAGCCCTACTCGTGGTCAGTCATGCCTGAGTCGCTTACTGACTGGACTGCTGTAATTCATGCTATATGAGGCTCCCCTTAAACACCATCAAGAAGCTGCAACTGGTCCAAAATGCAATGGTGTGTATACTTATGGATCCATCAATATCAGTACTACACAGCTGCATTAGGGATCTACAAGTTCCTGGTGCACTTCATGGTTATCACTCAAAAAGCCCTTCATGACAGAGGCGCTGTTATTTGTGCTGCCATCTATCTCTGTTTCTGGCTGACCCTCAGATTTGAAGAGTGGACATGCTTTGGATCACCTCTATGAAACACTGCCACCTAGTGAGACCAAAGAAGCATGCCTTATCTATCCTAGCACCTGCCCTTTGGAACAGCGTTATCACCTGAGATAATTCAGTAATCCTGATTGTGTTGGCTTTCTGTAAATCCTTTAAAAATGTTTATAGATTATAATCTAGTAATTCATGATGCGTTATTTGTTTTGTGTTATTTGTTTTGTGTTAACAAAGATTAGTATGTGTCCAAAATTAGCAGAACACCAAACTATTCATTTGAAACTGATATTTTTAGGCTCTATCTATGCAAAATTTATGACTTCAGTATCAGCTTCAATTTTAAATATTTAAATATTTGCTCCAACCTTTGTCTAGCCTACTTTGATACATAATGCCTGATAAGTTTACAAAACTGGTGGAAAATTTTTGGAAACATATGGAGAAGTTTTTATTGAAATCAAAGTATCATCTTGAGAAAGAAAGAAAGAAAAAGGAGAGAAAGAAAGAAAGGAAGAAAAGCTCATACACATTCATGACATTTTTAGAGGAAGCTAAATTCACAGGTTGTTTTTCCTCATTAAACACATTTTGATATAAATTTTTTGGGGATTCTAAAGATATCCACAATTAATGTATGCCAACTGGAAACAAAGCATAAAAACTGGCAGAGGGCTCTTTGCTGATTTTAAGCCTGTTAGAAAGCAATGCAAATTTTACTTTGCTGGAAAGGGGATAAGACCTGCCAGTATCTTTATCTTTATGGATTTGACTGAAATCTCTGCTATGTTACAGGGCTAGGGCAATTTGCTTATGTGTCCTTCCAACAAAGGATGGTGGACTTGCATGCCAAGGTAGGTGAATCACCCACAGGAAACACCAATCCTTTGGACAAACAGAAGCAAAAGCATTTATCATTCAGAGACTTAAAAGTGCAAAGTTTAAATGCTTCTGAATACAGAAAAGAAAATACGGAAACAGATAAAATGACTATGCTAAGTAAAGAATATCCATGCTTCCTTTTAATAATCAGAATGAATTTTAAATTGGAAATAGTGCATGGCAAAGGATGATTGTTCATCACCAGGAGATTCCCAGGATAACTTAAGCCCCAATCAGGTGCTATGAAAATTCTATTTGCCTCTTTTCTGCAGCCCACTGATACTTACAATCTCAAGGAATTCAATTTTGGATATTTTAAAATTACAAATTAATATTTACTGTAATGTCAACCCCAACAGAGAATAAATATATCTTTTGAGGTATTAGCTTGATTGTAACTTTCGAATGTCCTTCACTGGATCCAATTGCTCATATCTAATAATATCATTTTATTCTTAAAATTTATACTACAAGAAAACAGCTTTAGGCTCTCCTACTCTCTGGCCATTAAGCTTTTTAATATGCAGTCATTAAATTGGCTAAACCATGAATGTATCCAATAGTTCTGCCAGGCACCTTGCTAACTCAACAATATACAGTTAACCAAGTTTCAAGCACCTCATAATTAAACAATTCGAGTGGGTATACATTTATGTATGCTGTGTGGGTTTTGTTGGGGGGAATAAACAAGGTTTATTTCTTTAAAAGGAAGGAAATATAAACTAGTATGTGAAAGATTAATACATTTATAAAATATAAATCTTTATGGTAACTCCATACTAGTTAATTACACGGTTAATTTCTATGTGAAAATTTGTAACTTATGGAATAAATTCCTGCCATTTAAAAAATGTTATAGCTGCATTATATTCTGGCATTTGCTTTTCAATGGGGAAATTTAATGTTTTATTTTTTGCTGGAAAGTTGACTTAATTTACATTCAAACAATAAAACTGCTTTCTTTGCTACTAAATAATTCATAATTGCAAACTCCTCAGCTAGTTGGCATAATACTCAGCATTTGGGACTAAATTAAAACAATTTATGCTTACTGAAGACAGGTGCAAAGGGAGAAAAAACAGTCCTGCTAAAAACATGGATACTTGGAATAAATTTGAAACAGGAGGGAGGGAGACTATTTTTTAAATCACCGGTTACAATCATAATTGTGTCATCAAGCCATCAAGTCACAAGGTTAATCTTATTCAAAATTTGAATTCTGAAAATCCTCAAGAGGAGGCTCACAGATTGGTTAGGTAGTCATACTTTGAAACCAAATAAAAGTGACAATTACAGAATAGTGATGTTGTCAGTGGTATTTTGGGAAATGAACTATAATCTCAATAACAAATAATTCATGATATGCAACTAATTTTTGTACAAGAAGTATATAAGAAAACATAACAATGACCAGAGTCTTGCCTAGTGGTTAGAACCCTGATTTTTGCCCAGCTAGAGTCTTGTGTTTTCCCCTAATCTGGAATCATTTGCTATATCACTTCCTGGCAAAGAGATGTTTTAAATTAAGAACAGTCCTCTCAGTTTGCCAGGAATCTGTACGTAGCCTGGCCATCTCTTTCCTTATGTTAATTTTCTACTATGATTGTCACTGAATTGGATTAAATCTCTTAATTTTGTTCCCCCCCTTTCTTCCCAGAAAAAAAAAAGAGAGATGTGGAGAAGAACAAAAGAGATCAGAGTGTGGATGAGAGACCTTATAAAAGTATTGGAGGAAATAAAAGTATCTGCCTTCAGAAGTGTAAAAATGGCAATAAGCTTGGTGGAGAAAAAATGGAAATAGATGATTGATGAAATAAGAGAAGAGAGAGAGAATTAGGGGAGGGGAAGGAAGCAAGAAGAAATGGAAATGCTGACTTGAACTACTCTCAGTTTTAGTATAAGCCTGTACTGACTTTGCTCATACCCACTTCTGCCATGTGCTTTCTCTGGAAAATTACATTTAAAAGTGTGGTCACCTTCAGCTAAAAAAGGTTTTCCATATTTCTATTCTAAGGAAACAGCTGCAATTGTTGGGATGCCATGGGCTTCCTATTATGCACAGAAAGACTCTAATAGATGAAATACCTCTCAACGGACGTCTCTGTTCACTAAAGAATAAAAGAAAAAAACAGCATATTTAAGGGAGGGAAAAAAAGGTAAAGATTGGATTGTTGCCAAACTGGTAGTAAGTTACAAGAAATGCTTACCATTTTATATGTCTTTGGAACAGGAAGGATTATCGCCAGAACACAAATGAGCTGGAAAATGGCACCAAAGAAAAGGCCATAGTGTAAGATGTTCTCCATAAATGTGGGCTCTGGGATTTCAGGAGGTGAAAAATCCAACTCAGCAGCCATAGTGAAGTCCTTAAGTACACTTCCAACAAAATTGGATTGCTTTGTTTCTGCAAAGAAAAGAAGTTCCGTTGAAATATGCATTTTTTCCATAAAGCCATAAGTTTCATTCAGGTACTCCTTAAAGTGCAAAATGATGAGACAATGGTCAGAATAGTGTTGATTATTTGAGTGTGATACTGACCCTCCACTAATTGGGTACTTTGCAGATGTGTTGGACTCCAGGTTTTAAAAATCTCAGCTAGCATGCACTTTGAAGTTTATTTCCATGGAAATCCAACAAACATGTGGAACAAGTCAGGTTGGCAAATCCTATTCCTCCTTGGTTACTATCAGTCCATTACTGGGAGTGATAAAAAAACCCAGCTATAAGCTTCAAATTCCTCAGTTATTCAGGATTAGGATACTTACAGTTTTTTGTCTTATAGTACATATGCCCTAAGATATTAATTTTATTCTCTCTTTACCAAGCTAAAAGTTTTGCCATTGCAGTGACTTTTTGATCTGAATTCACTGACTCTAATGATGCTTATTTTAATTGTTGGTTTTTAATTCCAAATTGTATTTAAATTCCTGTTTAAATGGATTGCATTTGGTAAATTGTATAATGGCCTGCCTTTTGTCAATACAACTCCTATTATCAAAATACAAATTCTGAGGCAACCATTTCAATGCATATATTAAAAAATATAGAGGGATGATATCTGTGTCTATTTTTATACAAAGAGCAAGCTTCTCTGGAATATCTGCTTAAAAATAGATATGGGAATTTTAATCCAAACATAGAGGGTGAATAAAGCTGGAATGATGTGATAAGGCAGAATTCTCAAGCACAACACTAATATATCACAGAAGTACAAGAAGTAACTGGACAGCAGCAAATAGGAATTTGAGAACAGTTAAAATAGCACCAAAAGCTTCGTTTAACATTTAAGCCTTCCATGCTGACTCTTCTCATGTTTTCCTGTTCTGAAGGCTGGACAGCATCTTTCTAGGCTCAGCACTCACCACAGGGTCTATACCTTTTAGTTTTGTAGTGTTTTGCCACCCAAGTATTATATACATAAAAAACCCTCAGAATTATTTTTAAAAATAAACTATTAAATCTCCACCAATGGAAGCAATTTAAACAGTTTAACTAAAGTGATCCTTCCTGACAGTTAGAGCAATTAACCAGAGGAACAACTTGCCTCCAGAAATTGTGAATTCTCCAATAGTGGAAGTTTTTAAGAAAAGATTGGACAACCATTTGTCTGAAATGGTATAGGGGGATGGACTAGAAGACCTCTAAAGCCCCTTCCAACTCTGTTATTCTAAATCTTCTAAATCTTAAAACAGGAAGACCAGAGCCAACTGTATACGACCAACAATTAAGTTATCTGCCCAAATGCCAAGTGCATTTTCTTTTCTTTTTTAAAAAAAATCTCTTGGAGACATTTATTTACGAAGGGATAGATTTTCTCCTCTCTTACTTTCAATCCCCCCATTGCTAGAAGTTACTTTAAAAAATATATACCCTACCAGTAAAATTACAGCCGTTAAGAGTTTTTTCCCCTTTGGGAAAGCATTAGACTAATTGCTAGGCGAAATTCAGGATTTATTTCAGGCGGTTAAACGAAAAGAAGAAGAAAAACCCATCAGAAATGCGAAAAGCTCGCACAGATCAATAAAACCTGGCTGGACTAGAGCCAGAATAGATAGAAATTATAGAAAAGCCACCATTTTTCTCCCTCTCAAACGAGGGGCTACAATCTCTCATGCCCGCCGCCCCAAAGACTTCCAGGAATCTTATTAACCTCGCCCAGCGCCCCTCTTACCTCCCACTCAAATCCAACCTCGTTACCCGGAAGCACTTCCGATCCCCCAGGAAGTACTTCCTCCCTTAGCAACGGCCGGTAGCAACGCGTTGCCCAGATAGCCCCGCCCCTCATTCCATCTTCCCGTCGTTCGCTGGCGTTGCGAAGGGTTTTTTTTTTTTTGCCAGACTTACTTCTCAGACCCGATAGAGCATCATCAACCAGGGGAAGCGGTTAAGGGGAAGAACCGACCCAAATATTATGAAACCAGGGTCCTTGGGGCTCCTACACTCACGGATGGGGTGGGGGTAGACAGCTGGAGCCGTGGAACCACCCGCCCTATGAATAGCCTTTCTGTTTGCTTGTTCGACCTTAAGGCAGGAGTCCCCAAACTTGGCAACTTTAAGACTTGTGGACTTCAACTCTGCTGGCTATGCTAGCTGGAGAATTCTGGGAGTTGAAGTCCACAAGTCTTAAAAGTTGCCAAGTTTGGAGACCTCTGTCTTAAGGCGTTATTTTGGGTTGAAGCAGGGAACTCGGATCCTATGCAATGAAACGGCGGCAAAGAAGAGAATACAATTCTAGAATAGATGGAGGGTTACCGATGATTCTCTTTTACTTCTTGACAGGTTTGGGTGGGGGAAATGGAGGAAACATTAGAGAAGCAGGAGCTTGCAAAGAAGGTGGAATGTTATCCTGCTTTCCTTATTCTGCATCCTTTCCCCTTCCAGAATTATGAGAGAGAAAGAGGGCACATTAAAATCCTTTTGATGAGATTTGGAAGTAGAATTATTGCGTTTCTGGAATTCTACATAGTGGAGTTAGACATATTTAGGCAAATTGTGAAATCAGTCAAGAATGATATTTTTCTTTTTATGTTTATTCAAATATTACCTTATATCCAGACACCACAAAAGTCCAGGATTTATCCATAACAGATAAAAAGTTATAAAGAGAAACATAAATACATATACATGACCCAATGTATTTTGTAGCTTTAACTATCAAGTGGCTATAAGTTGCAATAGATATATTTATGGCATGTGAAGGAATTCCGTTTTAAACAAATCTTATTTTATCTGGCCAGTCATGAATTTGACAAATTATATCTTTAAATGTCTTCAAAGCATCTGGTAAAAACAGGATATCAAAATAAGAGTTTGTAAAAGATTGACATCATTATGATTTTGCTGACAGCTGTGGTTGAGATGTTGTGACTAATGCAAAATCCTGGGTAGGTGATACAATCACTTCAATAATAACTAAAATCAACAATACAAAGATCCAGCTAATACAACAGCTTAAACAAAGTGTTACAGCTGGAATGGTTAAATAATTATTAAACAGTGACATCTGCTGTTGAACAGCAATAACCACTCTATTCTCCACAAGTTTAATTCTTAATATTTTTTGCTATTTTTCCCAAATAAACATTTCTTACTTAGGTAATAGAAGCTTCTGTTTTACTTAATTATAGTTATAATGACTTCATGAAGACTTATATCAGACAACAATAATCAAAATAATAACGTAAAGCTTTGCTAAATTATGCTCAAGTATTTAAAAAAAGATGCTGGACATTTATTATGGAGAATATAGAAAACATTTAAGAAAAAAATGGCCATGAAACAAGAATGATTCTTGGAAAAGACAAGCTAATTTGGCAAACAAAACTTACATTACATAGCCTAACTCTGATCTCAATTCTTGAGCAAACCTGTGGAATTCAAGGATTATAGCATGAGGTCCATTAAACGTCCTATATATGTCTTCTAAAAAGGCAAGTCTTTGGAAAGTGACAGAATAATATATTACATAGATATTTCATATTGTATGATATTTATGTTACTAACGGAAGCATACAATACACACATCAATAAAAAAGTTTGACCCAAGACCATTTTATTACAGAAACAAGAAAATTGTGTTATCACAGATTATTTCTTCATCAATATATGACAAACATGAGACATAACTATTAATATATTATAAAGGGTGAACGGGAGAATCTATGTTGAATCTACTGCTTCAGGTATTCAAAATAACAGGTATCTTCCTTTCTTTATGCATGACTTCCAGCATTTCAAGCAATTCTTGTATGACGTGATATGCTACTGATTTTTATGAAAAGTGTCCCATCCTAAATTAACATTTCTTTGCCTCTTTTAACATGCAACAGATTTGTGTTTTATTAAAAAGAGAAAAATCCTTCAGATAATTGTATAAAGATAAACATTGTGTATTCAAGACCTCATAAAGGCATGAGAGTCTAGGAATGTGGTTCAGTAACTGTTAAGCTAATGGTTTATAGCTAAAACAGAGATATACAGAATAACCTTTGACTTTGGTTCAATTATTCACACAAAAAAGCTCCAAGTTTGTTAGAGTTCCACTTTCTCTGTACCTCAAAACTATAGGTACAATGAACCTATTCTTTTTTTCATACCTATATTTATCTTTTAAAAGAGTTGCACAGCCCTGTCTATATCCGTTATTAAAATTTCCCATTCAGATAGCTTGTCTGAGTGCATATTAAATAGAAATCAGAAGACTAGAGGGACAGTTAATTTATTTCTTAAATTTGTATACTATCACAGCCTCAGCAATTCTGGGTGGTTCACAAAGTAAAAACATAGGAAATAACAATAAAACAGTACAACAATAAAGACTAACAAACAACAAGATAGCAAAACCAGACAACTGAGAATCATACATGCACTACTCAGAATGGGCTTTAATTACCCAAAGGCTAAGGCCAATTCTACAAGGCCTTGAAAACACTAGTTGGGTAGAACCAGAGAAGTTACACTTCTGGAGTCCAAACAAATGTCATTGCTTAATCAACAGAACTTGTCAGAGCAAACTGGACAGATCCAGTGGGTGACAGGTGGTCCTTCAAATAACCTTGGTCTATAGAGACAACAAAAATACAGGTAGCACTTGACTTACAACAGTTCATTTAGTGACTTCTCAAAGTTACAATGGCACTGAAAAAAGTGATTTATGACCATTTTCACACTTATGACCATTGCAGCATTCCTGTGGTCAAGGGATCAAAATTAAGATGAATGGCAACTGACTCATATTTGTGATGATTGTAGTGTCTTGGTGTCACCTTTTGAGATTTTCTGACAAGTAAAGAATGTTCTTTCTGCACCAATTCAGAAAGCTCAAACTGCCCAAGGAGCTGCTGATACAGTTCTACAGAGGAATTATTGAGTCTGTCATCTACATCTCTATAATTGTCTGGTTCGGTTTTGCAATCTAACAGGACAGACACAGACTTCAGAGAATAATTTGGACTGCAGAAAAAACAATTACTACCAACCTGCCTTCAGTCGAAGACCTGTATACTGCACGAGTCAAAAAGAGGGCTGTGAAAATATTTACAGACCCCTCACATCCCGGAGCTAAACTGTTTCAACTCCTTCCCTCAAAACGACTCTATAGAACACTGCACTCCAGAATTACTAGATACAAGAAGTTTTCCCCCAAAAGCCATCACTCTGCTAAATAAATAATTCCCTCAACACTATCCAACTATTTACAAAGTCTGCACTACTATTACTATTAATATTCTCATCACTCCTTATCACCCATCCCCTCCCACTTGTGACTGTATGACTGTAACTTTGCTGCTTGTATCCTTATATTGACTGTTTCCTAGTATGATTTGATTGCTTATTGTACCCTATGACTATTATTAAGTGTTGTACCTTAGGATTCTTGACTCTTGATGAATGTATCTTTTCTTTTATGTATACTGAGAGCATTTGCATCAAGACAAATTCCTTGTGTGTCCAACCACACTTGGCCAATAAAGAATTCTATTCTATTCTAAAGTCAATGGGGAAGTTAGATTCACTCAACAAATTGTCTTATTAACAACTACAGTGATTCACTTAACAATTGTGGCAACAAAAGTCGTATAATGAGACAAAATTTGCTTAATAACTGTCTCACTTAACAATATGAATTTTGGGCTCAATTGTGGTTGTAAGTTATATAGTAAGTGTATATATGTATGTGTGTGTGTGTGTGTGTGTGTGTGTATGTTTACATCGGTACAACTTTAAAAGCACAACTATAATGATGTGGGAAAATACCCGAACAAAGCTGAATACCATACATATAAATACCCACGAAAACTTAAGAATATATATATATTAAGAATATATATATATATATGGATGGATGGATAGATAGATAGATAGATAGATAGATAGATAGATATAGATATAGATATAGATAGATGATAGATAGATAGATAGACAGACAGACAGATAGATAGATAGATAGATAGAGAGAGAGAGAGAGGAGGGGGAAGAGGGGGGAGGAGGGAAGGAGGGAGGGAGAGGTTAGATGCTCACTATTCTAGAAAGTTGGACTGGATAATCATATGCTGTTGATATTTGCAAAACACTAATGCATGTTCATATAACCACAGCACCAAGGCAAAGAAGGTAATTCTGATGATTTTGAGCAATACAATATATTATTAGAAACAAATCTTTTTACAAAAAAGGCAGGAGGTGATACTAATGGTTAATTTTCCATCCATAGTTGGCTTTCATGTTAAAAATGGGTGTTTTTCAGAAATGCAGAATTTACCAGTAGCATTATTCTATCTAGTGGTGAGGATGATTATTTGCATGTCAGACACTTCAGCCCCTCTACCAATGCCTGTTTGTAACTCTCTTTGTAAGATAAGAGATTCTAAATATGGCTTATTGGAATGGTTGGAAAGTAATTGATCCTCTGACGTTCAGGAATTTGCAGGTTGAATGAAGACATGAAAGTATAAAAGACCAGGAAATTCCTAGAGTTCAAAAGAGCTGGACTAAGTTCCCTCCATTTCATCAAATATCACGAACAACAGAAAATTTACAAGAAAGGACAACAATTTATAGACCTGAAAGTACATCATTCCCAAAGGAAAATGTAAGTTAATGCAATCAATGTTTTTATTTCATGGGGTAAAAATGAAATTGTAGATTTTGTAGACTGAGTAGTTACAATTCTAGCTTTACTGACCTGAAAATTAACCAAATTTTATCAAAATTGTAAACACTGGGAAGCAAATTGCAGATATCAATATTAATAATTGGATTCTGATAAATCTATTGTACAGTCTAGGATAATATTTCCCAGAACAATTTTATTATCCAATTTAGACTTACTTATAAATAGTTAAAAAGAGATACATTTTTTTTAAAAAATAAAACTTGTCTCCAGATAATAAGTAAATATGTATGCTTTTATATTATGTAGAAGAAAATGCCAATAAGCTAAAAGAAAATGAAGTTATGTGTTATTTAGAAAGTAAAGCATGAAACTGACATTTCAGTGAATATACTATCATCAGGTCCATAAAAGCATAGGCAAAGCATTGTAGACCTCTCGTAGCTCACATTAAAAAACAAACAAAAATGATCTCCATTTATCTCAAACTAGATGGTACACTTGGGACTACATTCCTTATGACATGCATTTATTCATAATGCAATCCAAAAACAGTACACACTTCATGGGTAATTTAATGTATCATGTTTTCTTCCTGTCATTATTATTTTCTCTGCATTTACATTATGCAAGTCAGAAGTGCAATCAATTAACAGGGAGAAATTTATCTTTTGGGATATCTATTTCAAAAGAGGATTTTTTTTGTTTTCCCCTCTTCATACCACAGTATTCTCTGCTGCTTAAGGAATTTGGTAGCATCATTTCCAACTAACATTTTATTAATTTTGTGGGATGATGATTATGCCTTCAATGAAAGGACCTGAAGCTTATGAAAGCTTATGCCTTTTAATACAATTAGTTGGAAAAGGTTCCAAACTCCTTGTGATTTTTGCCACCATGGACAAACATGACTGTTTTACAATTTTTGCCACTTTAAATTCTCAAAATGTAAATAACAATACTGTAGCATCTTTGGTTCTGAAAGCTGATAACATTTTGTTAGACAATCAGTTAATACTGTGTAGGAAGGGAAGTGTATAAAGTCCTCTCTTTATTTTCTGAAATTGCAGAATGATTGGATTAAACCTCCCTCCTAATAGAGGTCATTTAACTGCTTTTTGGAAAACTCAACATTGCTTGCAGGAGTGGGCTGGGCAGGGGGGAGCTTTAGACATAGCTGTGCCTATCTCTTGAACTGCACAAATGAAAAGACATTAAAAAGTGTGAATCCTAGTGATTTTATGAAGATGTCTATGTAGTTTTCTTGGCTAAACTACAAAAGAGATTTCCTATAATTTTCTTCTGGGGTATCTTTTCAACATCCCAGTCTTGCCTATATCCCTGGTGAAAGAATTAAAAAACAGAAAAATGCCCTACCTGGTGATTGCGTCCATGCAGTTTTCCTTTTAGTTACAAAAATGTTTTGCTTTGTAGCAGAACTGTTTGTCTATAACAGCAATCAAATAGCACCTTTTTAGACTAGCTGTTGCCTTTTTCTGAGACAAGGTCTTTCCCTCCAGTCAAACTAATAGCCCTGAACTTCTCAGATAGTGTCACATCCAAGTACTAAACAGGCCCAGCTTAGGTCAGCTGTATGCTGCTACTTAAGATTTTCTCAAACTGATCACAGAATGATTTATATTTCTATAGCCTTAATATAAAATAAGGAGAATTGATGGTGGAAAGAGAGTTCAATAGATTAAGCGGTTAAAACACAGAGCCTGAAAACCCAAGCTTTAAATTGTTAAAATTTTATTAATCTGCATTCATCAAATCCCTGTATTGAAAACATAAAAAAATGTTCATGAACTTAGGGTAGGCTTCCTGGAATTTTGAGCTACAACAAGCAATGAATTGCCTGAGAAATGAACTTTTTCTTCCAGTATCTGAACTAGCAGATATCTGGCTTGAAGTGTATTCGGCTAAAAATATACTTTAAAAAAAGACGTATGGATATTTTTGAGGCTTCACAGCATTGTTCAATTTTTTTCCTTTTCTGGTGTGATAGCAGTTTCCTGTGTTGCCGAAACAGCTAGAACCTCACATGGTGGAAGTTATAAGGGCTGGAAAAACAATGAAAATAATTTAAAAAGGAATTCACAAAGCAACATAATAAAGCTAAGGATACTCAGTAGCTGCAGAACAGAACGTACGTTCTTTGGATTCCATCTCAGCTTATGCTTACAGTTTATAGTGCTTCCATCACAGCAAAAAAAAAATGCAAATTCTGTGAACTAGAACACTGATGGTCCAATTTGCATTTTTTGAGTAGATTACTTTTCAGTAGCCGTGTTTGTTAACAAGAGACCCAATAGGAATCAATATCCTTTCCTCTCTACTCTCATGCTTGACTGAAGTACAGAAAGAATATTAATGCCCTGCAAGATATTGGATTTTACTGGAATTTAAGATATTGAATGTAGATGACCAAGGAGAGAAAGCTCAGTTGACTTATAACAGATTTGAAAAACATGTATTGTTATTCCTGTGATTGTTTTCAAGTGCCACAATTAATCCCAAATTCTTATTTTATGTTGCAGCCTGCCCTAGAAGACATTAAGATGTTGGACAGAGCTATTGCTTTCCTTTTTCTCCACTTTGTCATGTGTTCTCTTTCTCCTCCTCTCTATCCACCACTCAGGTAGTTGATCATCTCTATTGATTTTCTGCTTGTGAAAATGTAGAGTTGAGCCTATTGGTTTCTTTTCTCCATTGGAAAAGTCTGTCTTGGGTAGTAGACTCCTTGTTATTGGAGGAAACTAGTCCAGAAGAGTCATATTTGTAGTTATCATGGCAATGTGCCAAATACTATAAGCTTTTTTGGAACGAAGTTAAAATGCTCATTTGTCCATTTGATTTTTAATAGATTAAAATAGTTTATACTTATCAGTATTAATTTATTGAGCTGTAGATTACCATGCTTTATAATGTGTGAAATATTAGCTAATGATTTATGTATAATCTTTTCGCTCAGATCTCAATATGAAAACGGATGTGTTTCCCTTTACTTTATACAAATATCCACAATCCTATGCAATGGGTTGGGCTGACTGAAAAAGATGATAGACCTCAGATCATTCAATAAGCCCCAAAATGAGGATATGTAGTAATATTTTCCTTTCTCCTTCCAGGAGTGTCTAATTCTTCAACATGCCATGGAATGAGAAATATTTTGCCTTATTCTGATTGTTTTAAAGTTGTTGCTTGTTGCTTTAGATATAATCCACTATCAATTTCTGGCAAAGCAGGGAGCTTTCAACTACAAGAAATTAGTCCTGTGCATAGCTACAATCTTTCGGTAGAAGAGCAAGAAGAGAACTTTCTCATCCCTATTGAAAAAAGGTGGGTATATTAATCTCAAAATAAGTAACATGACTTTAGTTCTGCTCAATCAGAGCTAAGATCCATTTACTTAGGCACCCTTGTTTACTCCAGTGATCTTCAACAGATCATGACTGATTCCATGAAGGAATGCAGTAAATAGTATTTATAGTTGTGAAACTGAGAGACACTAAAATATTACATTATGTCAAATTTCTTTTCAAGAACTTCAGTTAAAAATATTTATAGACATGTTTATACTTTTTTCTGCCTTTAAAATTTAGCGATTAGAAATACATGAATTCACAAAAGATCAAAATAAATGATTCAAAACAAATTAAGATATTGGAAAATGTACTTTCTACTGCCTACCTAAAACTTGGCAAAATCTATTTAGCCTGTCTTGAGAGGAATTTCCAGACACAATACTCCTGTGGAAAAGATGCTGTTTTGCCATTTAACCTCTTTAGGTATTACAGCATATAAAAAGGGCGCACATTGGTGTTCTATATTTTGACTTCATAAGTTCCAAGAACAAATTATACATAATATAAGAAATAATGCAATGAACTCTTTTTTTGTTTAGCACTTTACTTGTTGTCCAAAAGGGATAGAAATTGGAAATGCATAGAATTTTTCCTTTTGGATAGTGTAGCTTTGAAGGTATATAGAACTGCCTTTTCCATCAACAGGAACTGTTTTTATGATGGTCCTTAACAAATGGGCACTGCATGAGAATGACAATGCATTTTTATTTCTTTAGACTCCGGCGTCATGCAAATGCCATATTCACTGACAGTTACCGGAAGGTTCGAGGAAAGGTATCAGCACGGAAGTTATTACAGGGCATAGTTGGGAAAAGACTTAAGTAAGTGTAATGAATATATAGTATATACCATAACTTTGTAGCAATTAATCCTCTATTTGTTTGTCAAATGCAGAGATGGAGGATAATCCTAGTGGTGGTGACAAATTCTTACAGCCGCAACTTTTCTGATTTTTCTGATCAGACATGGCCAAAAATATAGTTGTTAGCAATAATGAAAGATTATAAGGTGCCTATATTGCAAGGAGCCTTAATTATTCACTAAAGGAAATTTGAATTTATGTAGTATCTAACTCAAGCTCTCATTGCACTCAGTATATATCCTTGGAAAAATCTGAGGCTATATCTGATATATAATACAAAAATATTCATCTTTCTAATCCAAATAAATATTTATCTATAACTATTTCTAAAGGATTAGATTTTCCTACCGTGTTTCTCATATAATAAGGCTGGGTCTTAATTTTTTTTGAGCCCTGAAAAAATGGCTAGGCCGTCTTTTTGGGGGTGACTTAATTTCCCCCCCTTGCATCTTCGGGCGGCGACAGCTTGGATGTTGACCTTGGCGTTGGTGAGGCACTTTGTATCGGGGTCAACGCAGGCAGCACCATATCTGGGTGTGCAACAAAAGTACTTCCTAACAGCAAGCCCCCCCACCATTCCCCCCCATTTCGCATGTTTTAATATAGGCCTTAATTTGGGGGGAGGGGCTTAATTTCATTTCATGCCTATAAAACATGGTGGGACTTCCTATTGGGGGAGGCCGTATTGTTGGAGAAACAGGGTATTAAGAGATTAAAAACTCCAAATATTTCAAGATAGCAATTTGTGCTCAGATGTGCTACACTACAATGTCATTTATGAAACTAGAAGGAAAACAGTAATTAGATTGTGGATTTTGCATTAGAAGAATTTTATTTTAGCTTATAAATTGCCTTCAAAAATAGCTATATTAAATAATAACCTTTTCAAGGCCCATTTATGAGGCTGATATTCAAGCAGGAATAGCTCTTTCCTATGGCCCTTACTAATGCCTTCTTCTGTAGTGTGTTTTTCTGTAGCAATCATTTTGGCTGTTTAGTAGGGAAGAAAGCCTGGGAGATGAGCAACATGAAATCTTGACTAGGCGCCAGTCTGATAGCATTGTGATGGATAGTCACTATCACCAACAGATGGTACTCAAGAATTTCTTGGGAGCAATGTTACAGAATCAAGGGTAAATAGTTTTATAAATCCATAACTATCACATTCTGCAACATACAGTACATTTTGAATGTGCAACTGCTACTTTAGTAACTTATATAGCTTATGTAGTAATGACTGCAACAAAAACACATTCTAATCTAATGAATTGTAATTTGTACACATCTCTGTTCAGTGTATTTTAGTGCACCTTCAAACATTTACTCTGTATATTAACCCTGAGTAAACTTGCATATATTAAGGTGATTAGTCAATTAAATTCTGCTTGTGTTTGAATTGCTTCTAAGTAGTTTTTGACATGGAAAAACAATTTGCATAAATTCCTGGCTTCACTAGTAATGGAAAATATCTCTACCTAGACAGACAGCTTAAGTTGAAAACATTTAGAAAGAGAAACTGACTGAATACTCATTATTGTTCAAGAAAGGGACAAATAAACAAAAGCTTTTTATCTTAGTCAGAATAAGTGCTCTGTTGTTGAAGCCTAGTACCTTATCTTGAAAGCAAGTGTGTTCCACTGAAAGCAGCCACACTTTTGTCACACTAAGATCTCTTCTTTTCTTTCCCAGGCCTCAAGATGTTGCTAATGACAATTTAGAGGATTTTACCAGTGTTCTGATCAAAGTGATGGAACTGTAGTCTGACTTCATCCCTTCCATTTCATTTTGGTCACTGCCATTCTCAGGATTGGCATCAACTGCAAGAATTTGAGTGTGTGTGTGTGTTGTGTGTGTGTGGGGGGGGAAGGCTTCTAAAGCTGTGGAAAGAAATGAACAGGACACCTCACTGATAACCAATATTACTGAAATCTCATCTTCTTCTATAAACATGACAAAAATTGAATGCAAATGTTTATATGTGGAATGGCTTCCTGTTTAATTTATATCAGATAAGAATGCTTAATGTAGTCTCATTTCAGTTTGAAAAATAAATGGCCGCTGTCGCAAAATGCTATATTCAAATTATTTTATTCTACTAAGACTCCATAATCAACAATGTCATCGAGTTGTCTGACATAGTTAAAACATGGGGATTGTACTGCGAGTTTAAATTGAGAAGTGCTGAATGGAAAGCATTCATTGACTTCTGATTTCAGCACCATGGACAGCTTTTGATTGCTATGCAGTCTTGATAGTGTGTAAAGAATGTCAGAGGTTTTCTGATTCTTCAAAGTGTATTTTAAGTGCTTTTTATTATCCAAATTTTTCTTGCATTTTCACACAAAATATGGAAATGCTCTTCTATAACTACCTAAAGCATAAGCTTAATGTTTGCTTTAGCGAATCGCAATATAATAAAAGAAATTGCATTTTGCTAGACCTTTTGTCTTATTTTCTTTATTTCATGAAGGAGGCGGTAGAAAAAAGATTTTAAAAAATGACAATTTGGGAGCCCATCTGTTTTTAAAGTTCTTACTGATTGACAAGGTGGTTGTACCACAAATCAAAGTACTTACACATTCAAGAAAGGACAACATATGGGGGTATTTTTCTTCTTTAAAAACACTTTTTAATCTTACAGGCAATTATTTTCCACACTTCCGTTTCTGGCCTTCAAACTGTTCTTTGGCTCCTTTCCTTTTTTTACTTAAGGTTTTTTCCCCTGTTCCTCTGTTCTTCTGACATTAGCGTGTTCTGGAAGGACACAAAGAAATCCCCTTAAAGTTAAAATTCTTAATGTAGAAGAGGTCTTCACTTATGAAGCAGTTATCTTTTTGGACTAGGAGAGTGAAACTTAATGCTTTAAATGCGCAATTTAAAACCCGAAGAATGCAAAGAATACATAGTAAACTAGAATTTAATGCAAAATACAGTTATTTATCATGCAAACTTGAATTTACAAGTCATAACTATATTTGGAGTATCTCTTAATACATGTACATAATGCTACAACTTAAATTTAATAACATATTCACCTATTGATCTATTTTATTAATTTATATCCTGCCTTTATCATTTTTACAAATAACTCAAGGCATTGAACATACTTAACACTCCTTTCTCCTCCCACTTTCCCTACAACACCCCTGTGAGGTGGATTGGACTGACAGAGTAACTGGCCCAAAGTCCTCACCTGGCCCTTGTGCCTAAGTTGAGTTTACAACACAGTCTATCAAGTTCAAATGGTTACATTAATATAAAATTAAGACTAAAAAAAGAGACAAATCTTACAAATCCCATTCTAAAAGAATCATACATCTCCCCTTTCTAAAAGAACATTCTTTTTGTAATACTTTAAATGTATAAAAATAACTAGGAAATGATGAGATGGCTATGACAACAGGATCTAAGCTCTTAAATTATGATATTCATAAACTCAATTCCATTATACAAATGATATATAAAGCAATATAGTCAAATGCTTATTTTCATCTGTAAGACTGCATTGAGACTGTATCTCCAAATAACCACCTACTTTTAATAAAGAGTATTTATTATATAGGAAATAACATCATTCTTAGGTATTTTGCTTTGGAGTAGAATGATAAAAGAACACTTTTAAAAAATACCCATAATCTCCAGTGTGATAAGAGCTTCAACTAAGTCCCACTAATAGATACTGGTTAAAACAAATACTACAAAATCAGTATTTCTCTCATGACATTTCTCACCTAATAGTTTCATGTTTTCTTTGACAAAGCGTGTTGCTTTAAAATATTATCCTATTTTCACAACCAATTAAGAAGCATTTATTTAAAGCTGACCAGGCTTGTGCAGACAAGCAGAGAAGCAAAGATTGGAGAGTTTTTATAACATTTGTATGGGTAAAGTGGGGAACAAAACTCAATGTTTTAAGAGAAGATTAAATCCAATATTTAGCCATCTTTGGATATCAACACCTGATGATTTCTCCTATGGTATGTAACAGTTCATCCATCATCTTTGAAGCATTTGGATATCAGCATAGTTTTAAATTTCTCATGTATTGGAGTGCATAATTATTTTACTTCAATAAAAAATAAAGATGAACAATGAAGGGAGTTACATATCTATGGGGGTATATTAACTTTTCCCCCAACTTTAATCCCCTGTGAAATCTCACTCTCTTTGAGTGTGTTTATTCTGACATCCAGATGGCTTTCTACTTAAGGTAGGACTAGAACTCATGGTTTCCTGATTTCTATCCAGATATCTTAAATTCATCCACCAAACTGGCTCTCAATGAACTCGTAAGTAATTTCCATTCATTTATCATTTTAGGTGGCTATAGTACCGCAAAGTTTGAAACCCCCCCATTTGTTACAATCTAATACTGTCCAACAATATTTCTAATTCTTCATGTAATCTATGAAACTGACAGCTGTCTGTTCCTGAAATTATAGAACTGGAACTGAAATACCTGTCTTTCATTACACAAAGATTAAAAGTGTAAAACTTGGAATTTACAAGACTAAATGCTTGTATCCTTATTGCAGTCAAGAATAAATTTATATCCCTTAATGTTATATCCGTAATCTACATTACCTCAAAATATTTTTGCTGGTACATGCAAAATTTATATTTTGTGTGAATCACATAACTACAAAATCTGGAAATGTGATATTAAAATCAGTAACCTGAAAAAAACTATTTTAAACAAACATTATAATACTTTCTTAATGCAAAAACCAAAAATGAAGACAATGGTTGGTCAAAGTAACATCTTCTTTTACTCAGATTCTTGTATCAACCTACAATTCTCCTCTTTTGATTCCACCCAATATTCCATATTGTTGCAAAAAACAGTAGACTTGGCAATCTAATTAATTTATTTAAGCAGCACAACTTATTCTAATTTAGAATACTTCGCTTTCAAGAGTGTTTCTGGAATAATGAACAGGAGATATAACAGTAATTCATGCATTCCACAGCATGCAATTAGGCTACCAGAACATGCTGTACTTTAACTTGTTTCCTGAAGATAACTCAGAAACTATGCTTGGTTCTAAGTGTCGAAGCCAGATGCGAATAAGTATGAATTATTTTAGTAATGTAACAACAGTGTTCTAGTCACTGCATTAGTTGCCAATTGGTTTCAAAATCCAATTCAAAATACAGGTAGTCCTTGGTTAATGACCACTGGTTCAGCAGCCATTCAAAGTTATGATGGTGATCATCGATCATTTATGACTGGTCTTTAGTTTTGGCTGTCATATCATCCCTGCCATCACATTATGTAATTCAGGTGCTTGGCAACTAGCTCACAGTGTGTCCCACGATTATATGATTGCCATTTTTTACTTTAGCCGCCCGCTTTTGACAAGCAAGTCAATGGGGAACCCAGCAGGAGATTACAAATAGCAATCCTATGATGTAGTGCTTAATGACCACATGGGATTCAGTTAATGATCAAAATTGGAAGCGTGCAATTGCGTAAGTCAGTATAGTCATGTAACATTGCACTTTTTGACTGCATTGCGTAGTGACAGAATTCATAATTCCAATTACTATCATTATGCAAGGAGTACCTACATTTGTTTTAGCCTATAAAGTTGTTAATGGCTCAGCTCCTAGACACCTTTGGGACCAGTTTCTCCAATCTGGTTTCTTCTGTCTAATGAAGTCATTGAGGGAGATGATGTTTTGAAAGGCAGAACAGCCTAGAAACTGATGCTATTTTTTTGTTAGTGCCTTGTTATGGAGCATTTTATCCGCTAATGTGAAACTGGCTTGGAAGAAAGTCATGGTAACTATTTTATTTAAGCATGGTTTTAATTGGTAATAGGATGGCTGGATGCCTGTTTGTTGCTTCAATAGATTTTTAGGCATTGTAAGTTTTAAACGTAATGTTATGTTGTTTATGATGAATTTCTGCTTCTCCAAATGCTGTAATCTGTCCTGACTCCAAGGCGTAAAAATTTAACAAACAAACAAACAAATAAAATATGCAGTATAAAAGCAACTGCAACAGACAAAAATCCACCCAGCTCACCAAGCGCCGTTTTTCCAACAGGAATAAACAGGCAGAAAGAGAAAAATCAAGTATTACATGCAGGGATACAGGTATATAGATTCAGATACTGTGACAGACTACCCAATTTCATGAAACAAACTAAGACAGGCATGCCCAACAATTTGGGTCAATTTGATCCTGACTATCTCAGCCTTCTTACTCCAAAATCCCAAGATGTTCCCAAGAATCTTGTTCCCAAGATTTTCAACTTTTTAAATTATACAAGTATTGATTCTTTGCTTCTGGAAAAAATATTTTTATATTAATTGGACTGGGAACAAAAAGCAAAAGCAGCATATGGGTAGATGGAGCAAGCAAGAGTTGTGGAAGACATAAAAATGAGAAGTCTAGAAGTCTTAAGCATTGCTAGCAATTTCTCTAGCAATTAATTTTTTTGATAATGTGGAACTGTAATGGAGTTAAACAATAAACTCAAAATATAGTTAAATCATGCAGATGTTCCTTTTGCAATGGTCAGAAGCATAATAGGCAGAGTGGCAGTGGCTTCTGCTAAGGCACCCCCCCCCCCACCAAACCCCAAACAGTGATAAGCATAAAATGAAGCAGCCATCATGCTTAGGAAAAGCAACAGCCAAAGACCCTTACTTCTAGGAAGGGCTGGTCACTAGTATACCCCCTTTTTACCGTAGCGTTCTATATTTTGCCAACCTACTGCTCTGTTCTGCAGCGATCCTGCCAAAAGGAGA